GTTCTGCTGGAGACAGACAGTGCTTATGTACCTGCAAAAAGAAAGGGTGTCATCGCCATCGTCTTGCATAATCCTTTCGCGACACTGTCTGATACAGTCGTCTTTCCTTGATTTAAGCCCAGCTTTGGCTGATTCATGTTTCCGGAATCCTTCTGGCACAGAACTCACGGATGTCTAGTAGAAGAAGGCTGAGCGGATGGGGGTGGCGCCCTAATGCGCAATGGAAAGAGGTATTGACAATTTGAAGTCGGCGCTAACGGTGGCCAACCCGGAAGATGACGACGTCTCCAGGGAGGTCTACTTGGGTGTCGTGAAGAGCTACAATGACCGCCGCGGCTTCGGATTCCTTGCTTGTACGGAGACGGCTGATCGCTTCGGCCGTGATGTGTACATGCCCAAGGCTCTTCAGTCATGAACAGCATGGTCTCTTGCATGTTGGGTCATGTGGGTTTTCCATTCGTACCACAGCAGGAAAAGTGACTTTGCTGTAAAAGTAGGTCAGTAGGGAAGCGACGATTCTCTGGCAGGCGGAGGCCACGATGGCTGCTCTACTCGCAGCCGGTGTCGATCGGGAAGCGGGAATCAGCATGGTGATGAACGGGTGCCTCTCCTGGAAACATCTTGACTCCTCGTTTAGTGACGTCTGACCCTGTGTCATGTGAGTTTGACCCCGTGTTGAGGAACTGCGGTGCAGCTGCGACAGCGGCCGCTGTTGCGGCAGCACCACGGGGTCCGGACGCTGCAAAAGCCGCTGCAGCAGCGGCACAGCAGGTGGAGAAGGTCCAGGAGGGCGAGAAGTCCACGGCGCCGCGGTTGGCCGAGGAAGACATCGTCTTCTTCCGCGTTCGGCTGAGTGTGGAGGGCTATCCGCAGGCAGATCTGGCTTTAACGAATTTCAGAGTGATCGACTATGAGATGCAACTGTTCTTTGCACAGGCCGTCTGCGTCCAGCGGCTGCGGAAGGTTACTGGTAGCGTGCTGCTGGCGCCCTCACACACAAAAGGATCCATCGTCAGCGAGGAGGTGGCCTGATTGTTGCCGGCAAATCATGTCGAGGGCCGACAGGGGTAAGCATCTTGAAGGCTTTCGACCCTGACAGGCTGTGGCGGTTTGCGGGCGCAAAGAGGCCGCTGGGATCCCATGACGCCCGTGAGCCTCAATTGAAACCCACAATACGGACCACTCGCCATGGACCATGCGAGCTCTCCCCCTGTGTCAGGTGGTCTTTGACACCGAAGCCTGCGGTCAGCTGCGGCTGATTCCCGGTGATGTCGTGACCTTCTGCATCCCCGAGGCACGGACGAAGACCTGCCATGTTTCTTTTTTGCTTTGCTTTGTGCTTTGGCTTTGCCGGTTGTGCGAAGAGGCCGAGGAGAAGCTGGGCGCCGTCGCCAAAGTCGCCCCATCGCCGGCCCCGGGAGCGAAGATGATCTCCCTCTGCACAACGAGCCGTGCGGGCGGCACCGTGCTGGGTTGCTTTACCCTGGACTTGCCCAGGACTCATCCAGAGAATGTGCTGCATGCTCCGATGCGAGCAAACCTGAAACTGCCCTGCCACGCTTTCGGGGACAAGCTCGTTCTCGCACGCCTGACTGATGACCTAGACGAGGCTGAGCTTATGCGGTTCTTTTCCAAGCAGGGTGCCACCGGAGCAATCGTAGCGCATGCTCGGGCTTGTAGTTTTGCTTCGGTCTCCTTCGCCAGCATCGCAGATGTGGCACGTTTCTTGGGCCGCATTGCCCATGCCTTTGCGGATGACAGGGGAACGCTGGTTGCCAGGCTGCTTCCCTTGGATCCCAAGTTGGATGCGATTGCAACGCTTCCTGCGCTGCCAGCTCCCCAGCTGTCGGCCAAGGACAGCAGTGGTGAGGATCTTGAAGCAGGGGCACTGCTTGTGCTGTGGTCCCCACTAGTCTTGGCCGTTGCCTACTCGGTAGAGCTTCGGCCCGCCGGCGCGGATGGTCCTTGGGCCTCCGTCGATGTGGGCTCCAAGATGGGGAGCAACAGCCACCGATTCGACTCCACCACCTCCTCGTGCAAGGTGACCAGTTTGCATCTAAGCACCCGCTACGAGGCCCGGGTCTCCTACTTCACCGACTGCGGCACAACATCGGAAGCCTCAGAGGCTTCGGAGCCCTGCACACCTTCCCAAGGCGATGCCAAAGCCGGGCCCAAAACAGTCACGCCAGTGACGGCAGTCCAAGGGGTGGGCGTAGGGGTCACTGCCACGAACCCTCCACACAGCCGTGCACCCGAGTACGTGGCACCCGTGGCGCCACATTACCCGCCGAGCCTCAGCACGCTCCCTCCAGCTCCGACCTCCAGCTGGTCAGGCCTGTCCGGCTTTCAAGCTTTGGGGCCGTGGTAAGTTGCCTAGGGCCTAATCTGTTGCAGTGACAGGCTGGAGCACCACGGAGGCCTACCCACCGCCACTGCCACTGCCGCAGGCGGTGCCTCCACCAGATCCCTTTGCAGGCGCGTGTACGCGAGCAGTAATCTAAGTTACATGTTCCTGACCAGACTAGTTCTTGATCGTAACACAGACTACAAGCTATGCTGAACATCTGGCGTTCTTGAACTTGCTCAGTGTGGCAGCCATGGCAGGCTATCCACCTCCGGCGCCGGTGCCGGCCCCGCCGCCCCCGGCGTGGCGATCTCCGTCGGGCGTGGTGGTTCCGCCACCAGCCGCGCCGGAATTGCAGACCTGTGACGATCGGGGATTCGCGTTGAACGTGATGTGCCTTGGCCGCTTGTTCTCGCAGACCCCCCTCGAGAAAGCCTGACGTGACTCAGCCTGAATCCCTGTCTGGCCCAAGGTGGCCATGTGTGCTGCAAGCAGTGTCTTATGTGGTGGAGATTCGAGTAACTCGGCGTTGCATCCTAGATTTGACAGAGGTTGTGTTGAGCCAGATGGTTTCAGCCAATCTCACGTTAATACTGTGCATGCATGCACACTCGGAAGCACCACCAAAAGGGTTCAGCATCAAGTGTCCTCTTGCGAAGGCGGGAGACGGCACAAGCTTCGAGCGGTTCGTTCGCCCCGCCCCGGAGGCAAGACTGGCCATTGGTCCTTGGATCCCATGTTCGGTGCATCAGTTTGAAGTAGTGGGGTTCCGCTTGAGCGGGCAGTCTCCGGTAGCGTAGCGCAGGCAAAGCTTGGGCTGCTGGTGGAGATGCGAGTCGCCGGGCTCCGCCCGGCGCCACCCCCGGGGCGCTTCTACTTGGCCCAGGCCGGCACGGGGGAGCCGAGAGGACGGAATTGAAAGCTCGTGCAATGAGGTTCGAAGCGTGGGTGCGGATGGCTGGGAGTCGCCACCCGGCCCATCGACGTGGTCAGCTCCGCTGATATGCCCGGTGCGATGCCTAGCTCAGTGCTGCCATCCGTGGCTCATTTCTGCCAGATGAAAGTGCTACGTAGCGTGGTGATACTCCACGCTTTCTCCGTGCAAGTGGAGTAGCATTTTCACTGCGATCGCCGTCGTCGTTGGCGTCGTCGTCGTCTCCCCCTCCGCACCCCGTCGTCCTCCTCATCCTCCATCATGATGATGACCGCATATTTCGATTGCTACCTTGCCGTACTTTTCCGCATGGTGCATGAGCATGGAGCGCAAGCTCAGTTTTCTGACTGTATGAGAGTTGTTCTTTCTGGCAGTTTGTCACGGTGGCGTGAGGGCGAGGGCCGTTTCAAAAGTACGGTTACATGAGCGTGCGAACTTGGTGAGCTCCGTCTTGGTGTCTTATCGTTCAAAACACATGTCCTGTCGGCATCACGTATTCATGTCGCGAAAAGCTCAGTTCGAGCTAGGCGCTAGGCCTTGCATGCTGAGTTCTGCCCAGGATCTGAGCTCTTTGGATCCGAACGAGCTGAGAGAGCGCGAGGGAGTCCACCTTCTGGGTGCCCAGCCAGGGCTCTCTGCATCCGCGACTCCGTGGGAGCCAAAAAGCTGGAAGGGCCCAGAGATTCTGTCGACGAGCGAACCTGCAAAAGACTTCGGCTATGGATGGCATCCTGGGATGCCTCCGCCTCCGGCAAACCCTCCCGTTCTGGGTTCGGCCACTATCGTCGATGACGGTGCCAAGCCTGAGGAATGTCTCATCCTGGACTGAGCCTGTCCTGGGCGTCTTCGGCCGTCGGTGTCACCAAAATTGGTTCCAGATTTGCCTTGCAGGCAGTTAGAGTCGAGCAGTATATCGAGCGTCGAGCATGGATCTAGAAAGCAAGAAGACTCCTTTGAGGGCTTTCCGTTTTAGTGCTCGAGCTGCTCTCAGCGGATGGTCCGCTGAGTCCCTGACGATGCGCCCCGCTTGGCTCGGCCCAGGTTTGGTAGGCCGAAGCCAAATGTGCTAATACGCATAATTGTGGCAAGTACCAGTACTCGAGTCCTGTGCCTCGCTAGGAAGTTTTGGGAAAGTTTGGCAGATCGGAACAAAGCTGTGTACTTTGAGTGCTTCCGGCACAGGACCAGGAGTCTTCGTGACCCGCGGATACGTGTTCGGATGACTCGACTCTAAGAAGCCAAAATGAAAGTCTCTGCTTTGTCATTGTGTTCCTGTGACATTCCGACCAGTGTGCCATGCCGTCGTTAGCGATGTCCCCCTCTAAAGACGAAGTGACTCCAAGCCTCTGGAGACTCTGAAGGGCTCACTTCTCGACTCCGCTGCTCCACTCCGCTCTTCAAGACACTCAGCTCCATAATGCACGCGGCACGTGGCATTGAGCTCATCGTCTGAACATCATCGTTAGGGCAGCTGGGGGCCGCTAGGGGCCCGGGCTGGGCGGGTCACCACTTCTAGCAAGCCGGCAAACCTCGAGCGTCGAGAGCGTCGAGCCATGGAGGATCAACTCCCGGAGCCATGAAGTGAGAGCTTCGCACAAATTCAACAAGCGAGAAGAAAACAGCAGCTGCCTGCACCGGCTCTTGCTGCAGCTCTTTTGTTGCTGTAGGGATTTACTTGAAGCTGTCAGTCTAGCGATGAGTAAAGTGCCTCTGCGCCCGCAGCCTGGACTCGTCTACTACCAGCATGAGAGTGGGCAGACGCAGTTTGAGCGACCCTCCTCAAGGCTCCGCCCAGCACAGCCCTGAATTCTCGCCTCACCGTGGCCGCTGCATTTCACAGGTCCTCCAAAGATCCATTGGAAAAAATCATTGAGAAGGAGAAGCGGCAGAAGGCGGAGGAGGAGAAGAAGGAGGCCCGGTGGCAGGCGGGCAGCCCTGGTCTGGTATCACTGCGCAGCGACATGAGGCTAACAAGCTTCCTGAGAGGGCCGTCCAGAAGGGCGAAGCTCGAATTTGGCACATCCTCAAAAAGCACAGGCTGTGAGTCCTGCGTCTTTATGCGCGGCATGCATGCATCCAGTATGAGTGGAGTCATCGGTTATTGCACTTCTTTATCTTTCTCTCTGTCTCTCTGGCGAATGCTCACCACGTTCTGGCAGGGACTTCTTCGGAAAGCCCGCAAAGTCCTGGCGGCAAAGCCAGATAACTTGGAGCAAGAAGGAGGCCACATGGAGCCGGGTTTCAGGCGAAGCTAAGGATGCTCACTATGCAAGGCCAAGGAGTCGCTGAAAGCCCTGAAGTTCAAGCTTGAGAACGTGGCCTACGGGGGCGGGACCCAGGCCGCGCCGACCGAATCTCGAAGATGCCCAAAGCCTCTGCTCTGTAAGACTGTAAGACTAGAAGCATGCCTTTTCCAGGCCTTGCAGAAGAAGTTCGAGAACTATGCCAAAGGCGAGAGTGATGACGAGGTCAGATGCTCTGCGATGCTTTTTGCAACTTGCAGCTTACAGCAGCGTTTGTCATCTTGACTCCCTTCGGCAGATCTCCGCAAAAGTCGGTGGCGACTTGGGGCCTGGGGCCCGGCGAAGTCCTTCTGAGCGCAACGAGAGCGGGCCGGTGGAGGCCCATCACCAAGAAGAAGAAGCTCTTCGGTGGCTATGAGATCGCGAAGGCTTGGAAGGGAGCGGCTCTGAAGGCAGAGCGGAGCATTTCTCTCAGAGGTCTCCTTCGAGCTGAAGATCGGCACCATCTCGGACGTCCTCGAGACCTCCGAGGCCGGTGAAAACGAGGGGAAGAAGTGCAATGTGGCCTTTTCGCGGCGAAGGGCGTGCACCTCGTCGGGCGCTTCGAATGAGACATCAACTCTGCGTTTCACAGGCTGCGAAGCTCGCCGCCTTTTCAGCTGCAGCATGTTACATCCCTTCTTCAGACTGCACGGGCATGCAGGACATGTGCGAGTTTGTGTGGCAAAGCTTGGACAGGGCCGCCCTGAGTGCCGTTCCCGGGAAATTATGGTTTGCTGGCACTCTGGCATGTGACAGCAGCTATGAATCGATGAGCCAGGCTTCGAAGGGACCACACCCGCCATCGCCCTCTGATTTGGCCCGATGGCTGTCCCCGCCGCGAGTGGCAAAAGACATCAATCTCAAGCTGCCATGATCTTGGCCTTTGCCCCTCCTGCATGAAACCCAGTCATGTTGCAGGAGCTGTTGGTGTCTTAGTGGCTCATCCTGGCAGTTCTTTGGCTTTGGCAAAATGGGACATGTGGGGGTGCGGCGGAGGTCTCGGTAGAGAGGGGAGTGAGCACCGTGGAAGCACCAAGAGGCGGGGATCACCCAACACAACCTATCCCGAGATGTGGCCAGTAAACATATTAAGTATACATCTTGGGTGTGCTGCTGCATGTGATAATGTCTTATATATATATATGTGTGTGTGTACGCAAGTCCGTGTGTAAGAATGTTGTATGCAATGTAGGCAGAAAGGTATGCGGGTATGTAAACATGTGTATACATGTGTGCATGCATGCATGTACGTTTGCATGCGTTTCTTTTTGCATGTACGCATGGATGTACGTATGCATGCATGGCACGCTGGTTATGCAACTTGCATGTCTACGTAATATGGCGATACGCACCGTGCCATTGACATTGATGCAGCGTACATGTACAAACCATGCCAATGACGAGTCTTTCTCGGACTGGACCCGTGTCGCAGGGAGCGACCCTCATGCTCCTGCGGGTGCTGTTGATCAGCGTGGCGCTCCTGGCGACCATCTACTTCTTGAAGGTTTGTTTGCAAGCGTGCATAATATGGCCATGTGGCTTCTAAGTAATCATGATTTCTCAAGCTTGGATTGTGCTGCCACCGTCGCGAGAAGATCTGAACAAACATCTGGCGGTTCGGCGCACTCAGTTTGAGCTGAGTGGCCGGCTGGCAGACAGCCTATGATTTGTGTGGAACGCGTTGATTTAGTCGCTGTGCATGTGCGAGCACATGCCAGACATTCGTCATGAAGCCATTGCCGAAGAGTTTGGGCAGGCTGTGTTGCTGCAGCTGACCTCCGATGATGCAATCGATGAAGCGGATTCCGCTCTAAGCGGCCCAGGGCCTTGGGGGGCTCTCTGCAAGCTCTTTTTTCACCTTTTTGGAATTGGTATCTGTGTGTGTGTGTGTGTCCACGGTAGTGCCGCGAGGCCAAAACAACTCCTGGACCGACGTTGAGAGGGCTCTGCAAGCGTTCAGGCCAGCATGAGACCGCCGGGAAAGCCTTTTGAATAGGGGGTTGTGAAACTTTGAGGAGTGGCGATGATTCCAAGGCCGCGGAGCAACTAAGACTAAGGGAGAGCTCACTTCTCTCTGTAGCTTGCGTGCTTCTACCAGGCACTGGCGATCCTGACCGGCTGCCTCACCAAAGAGGTCCGGAGCTTGAAACGGAGAAGGTACTGTATGATGCTGTGCCAGAACTCCCTGAGAGGACTCGGCTGAGGCGGATCAGTTGGAGACCGCTGCATGCAAGAACTCTCTCGGAGAGCTGCACTGGGTCGGAGCCGGGGTAGATCGGAATCTCACGCGGGCCCGGGCCCCATGAAAAGCGCGTAGGTCGGCTCATACGAATGCTGAAGTCGAGGCCAAAGAGCTCTTCGAGGAAGCAGCTGCCGTGGGTGAGCCGGATGCGCAGTACAATCTGGCCATCCTCTATGCCTCGGCCGAGAGCAGCGAAGCTCTGGCCGCTATAACTAGAAAAGTCTGGTGTCGAAGGGGAGCATGCAGCATGATTTTGAGAACATGCAAAAGTATCTGTTCATGCTCAGGATGATCTGCGACGGAACGAGGTCCGCGAAGTACATCGAATCTAAGCATGCTAGATCCTGCAACTGTTCTCGCAGGCCCTGGCTGTCTTACACCTGTATGCCGCCTCCACAGCAGGCCAGCAAGATCCAGCCAGCAAGCAAGCATTGTCCGCCTTCGAAGACCGGACCGCAATCCTTGCACATGGCCAGGCCATCCAGGTGCGTTAATGGCCATGGGCTACAGGCACTTGCACGGCTACGGCGTGCCACAGGCCACGGCGGAAAGCTTGCCGGATGTGTCTTGCTCCATCTGCACTGCAAGGCCTGCACCACAGCAGCCCTGAATTACATCGACGTTGCCAAGGGCATTGCCAGCATCTACTCATCTGGCATGCCGCAAGCAGTCGAGTTGCTCCGGCTGCATATCGAAAGGGGTAACAGGGCTGAGACAGAGGCACTGAGTCTGAGTCTGCGAAGGCAAGGCATAGCCTTCAGCTTGAGCCTTCTGAGGCTGGTTCGCTTGAACCTTCCGCAGAAGGACCGGAAGGTCGGAGAAAGCTCCTATGGGGTCTAAGAAGTTCTTCCCGGGTTGCTTGTTGCGGGCTTTGTCTCTGTGATTCTCTGTGTGTGTGAGAGGTCATGAGCAGCTCGGAGCTGAATCTCTTCGTGCAGATCGCCACTAGCGGAGACAGCGCTGTCGCCGCGGCGATCGGGAAGCGCTACCTCTTGGGGATCGAGGGCTTCAAGCAAGACTACCAGAAGGCACAGGGCCCCAGGGCCCAAGGGCCTAAGCCCCTCAAAGCTTCGAAGAGGGTTCGAGGCAGTTGTTTTCGTGGCGAGGCCAAGCAGTACCTGAAGATGGCGGCCAACAGGCAGCACTCCGGGGCCTTGGCTCTCCTGGGATACATGTACTGCCTAGGCCGGGGATGTCCTGACGGCTGCTGCAGATTTTCAGTCCGTCCGTCTCCGTCCGTCTGTCTGTCTGTATGTGTATGTGTATTTGTATGTAACTGTATGTATGTATGTATGCATGTATGTAGGTCTGCATTTATGTATGTAGGTAGGTCGGTAGGTAGGTAGGTATGTATGTGCGTGCATATATGTATATCATTATATATCTCTGTTTCACCATGAATTTACTGCCCCCCGGACATTGGCCTATCGGAAGGGAAGGACGAAAGAGGGAGATCTATCTATATTTGTGTGTACAAGAATATGTATGTGCTTGTAGAGTAGCACACGTGTGTGCGAAGTAA